AATGGGTTTGAAGGATGGGATATCTTTTTTTATAAAATGTACTAAAGTTAAGTGTATGTAATCGAAAAGAGAAGCTCAAATTCTGTAGCAATGCCAAGGCCGATTTCCAGGGAAAGCAAGAAATGATAAAATGTGTACGATGAATACCTTGAAATGTGTACCTTGAAAGTGCCTGGTGATCACTGGCTGTCAAGTTCAGTTGCTTCATTTATTTGAGCTCGGGTCATCTTTTAAGTACAAAAACATAGTATTTATTTATTGTTTTTTTCCTTTTTTGACTTAGTGCACCAGGAGGCCCATGATTACGCATGTTTAGTGTATCAGTAACACTGTGATATGACATCAGCTCATATCTCATACTCGCTTTAAAGCATGTCTCCACATAGATTTAGTTCTTATAGTTTTCTGGCTTGTACATTAATATTGAAGAGCTGTGAGTACCACAATAATGTACTTTCAGGTCTCCTTCAATCCATGTTTCTTCATGGCAAGGAAATTGTATATATTTTATAATTATTTACACAAATTTTTGTACCTTTTTAATCTGTCTCCTTTGAATAAAAATGTCCTGTAGATTTTGAGAATCCCTTTACTGATAAGTCTGCACTCTCAGACCAGCTCATTACAAACCGACAGGGAGAAATAGAAAGAAATGAAAAGCAGATAGACATGGAGACAAAGAAAGTATGAAAGAAACAGACCTTTTCAACTAATCCCAGAGAGCCGAGTGGCAGAAAAATGATAGAAGCTTTATAATCACATTCCCATCGCCCCGTTGACCTCCCAGACACCACTGGACTGAACTGGAGGGAGGCGATCATCCGGTGTCTGGAGAGTGTCCGGCCCAGATCCAGAGCACAGCCAGACCCAGAGCCCATCACTCCGCTGCGCGGAGCGCAAGCCCAAGCCTGCCGCAAATCTGTTCGGTGCGAGCATCGCGGGTCTGCCAGTCTCCATCATCTGCGTGGCTGGAGAATCCCTTGCCTCCGCCTCCAGCCTATGAGTCCCAGACTCCGCCTCGGCCTGTTGACCCAGCGGCTCCACCATGGCTCCTAGCTCCCTCCTCTCCGCCGTGGCCCGACAGTCCACTGGCTCCAACGGCCTCCCTCGTCCCTCCCGCTCCGCCTTGGTCTGTCATCGACCATCCGTCGCCTCAGTACTCAACTTCTCCGGCTGCGCCTCGTCCCATCGGCTCTCTGCCTCGGGCTCCTCCACCTGCTCCGCCGCTGTCGGTTGGCCCCCTGGAGTTGTCAGCCCTTCCTCCAATTATTAGCCCAACTATAATAATTAATAATAATAATAAATATTATTGTTAGACACCTAGAGTTTCTCAGATCATCCAATTTGTAAGAAAGCATTAAGCCAGGCTCAAATAACATACACATACATCTCTCAAGGTTTTTTCTGGCGTATGGTCCCTGGCCCAGAGCATGAAGCAGATGAATAAAAATAAGGAGAAAGACAGGCAGTCAGAATACAAGAGAGATAGGCCAAAAATAAGCTATCAGGATCCATTCCTGTTATGATGGATGAGCAAGTAACCAAATCTCAGAATATGTTCAGATATCCTAGGGAGTGTTTGAAGAACAACTCTCGCGAAAGTAGTACAACACAAAAGTGGAGCTAATAGAGAGAGATGAAGAGAGAAAATAAGACATCGGATCCCACTGCTGTCAGGATGGATGAGTAGGTAAATGCAGTGCAGCATTGCTTTCCTGCTGCGTTCCTAATGCCCTAAGAGCAAGGCTAATGTGCACTAAAGAGATGCTTCTGTCTTCATCTGGGGTGCAGATGCTGGAACTGTGCTGAGGTACAAGAACGAGGAAGGAGAAAAGAGGCGTAGGAAAGAGTAAATGTGGGAAATGAATGAGCACAATCAGAGGAGTGGAGGGCAGTCATTACTTATACCGGCCGTCACAGCGGTCCGTTCATTCCCTCGTAACATGTGAAGGTTATCACCTCTTAGGAAACTGTCTCGTGAATTCCACTGTTAAATTGTATTATGACAATATTATATAATGTAATATGTATTTTGAGTCTTACGGAAGCCTGTTTCCACTTCAGAATGAAAAAGGTAATTGCAAGTTGCAAGATAAAGTGTCGCGGCTATGAGAAATAAAGTTGCAATTGCAAAATAAAATGTCAGTTTGTGAGATATACTTTGAAATTGTTATTGGAAGAAACAAAGTCATAATTATGAGAAATAAAGTCACAGTTGTAAGATATAAAGTTGCATTGTGAAATAAAAAGAGAGAAATAAAATCATAATTGGGAGAAATAAAGTAATTTTTGAGAGCCAGTATTGTGAGATACAAAGTCACAATTGCTTTTTTATATTGTTTAATCTAAATAGACTTTGTATCTTGTAATAAATATTAATAATAATCTCTGTTTAGTAATAAAGAAATCAATTAAATTTGGAGTGATTTACTGAAAAACAGTGAAACCATATGTGTCACAGCACCATGAACTCTGTTTGTGTTTTGCACTGTTGTAATGAGGATGAGGCGGAAGCCGAGGAAGAATCCATATGCGGATGTTTATTGAAGCAGTCCAACAAAACCAAACTCAGGGTCAGTAAAAACAGGCAATGAGGTCAAAAACACAGTAAGGCAGTCCAACCAGGCAAACAGGCAAAAGGGGTAATCCAAAAGAGAAGTCAAAACAAACAGATAAACAGGTCATACACGTGGTAAGAAGGCAGAGATACAAACGCTTGGTAAGGCAGGATAAACTGGCAATACTTCGCAAAGTAGTCATGTGGTGGCCAGGTTAATATGGCCACTAAACAGGAAGTGGTTGCAGAGAAAGCAGAGGGAGTGCTAACAGTCAATACTCGGGCGAGGGCTCCCTCTGCTGGCTTGGTGTTACAGAACCCCCCCCTCTAGGAGCGACTCCTGGAGCTCGACGTGGACGTCCCCGTGGCCTCGGTCAGCCCTTCCTCCACCATGGCTCCTCCCTCCGTCGGCTCCACCGTGGGTCGCCTTCATGGCTGTGGCCTGGGTCCCACATGGCTCCGCCTGCTCCAAGTCCCTCCTGTCTCCTCACTCCGTCTGGTCCGCCCTGGCTCCTCCCTCCGACGTCTCCACCCTGGACTCTGTTGGCCGTCCTCCTCCCGAGTGTCTGTCCTCCACCCGATTATTATTAGCCCAACTATAATAATTAATAATAATAATAAATATTATTGTTAGACACCTAGAGTTTCTCAGATCATCCAATTTGTAAGAAAGCATTAAGCCAGGCTCAAATAACATACACATACATCTCTCAAGGTTTTTTCTGGCGTATGGTCCCTGGCCCAGAGCATGAAGCAGATGAATAAAAATAAGGAGAAAGACAGGCAGTCAGAATACAAGAGAGATAGGCCAAAAATAAGCTATCAGGATCCATTCCTGTTATGATGGATGAGTAGGTAACCAAAGCTTCCAAGATGTTCAGATTTCCTAGGGAGTGTTTGAAGAACAACTCTCACACCAAGTATAACACAAAAGTGGAGCTAATAGAGAGAGACGAAGCGAGAGAAAATAACACATCAGAACCCATTTCTGTCAGGATGGATGAGTAGGTAAATGCAGTGCAGCATTGCTTTCCTGCTGCGTTCCTAATGCCCTAAGAGCAAGGCTAATGTGCACTAAAGAGATGCTTCTGTCTTCATCTGGGGTGCAGATGCTGGAACTGTGCTGAGGTACAAGAACGAGGAAGGAGAAAAGAGGCGTAGGAAAGAGTAAATGTGGGAAATGAATGAGCACAATCAGAGGAGTGGAGGGCAGTCATTACTTATACCGGCCGTCACAGCGGTCCGTTCATTCCCTCGTAACATGTGAAGGTTATCACCTCTTAGGAAACTGTCTCGTGAATTCCACTGTTAAATTGTATTATGACAATATTATATAATGTAATATGTATTTTGAGTCTTACGGAAGCCTGTTTCCACTTCAGAATGAAAAAGGTAATTGCAAGTTGCAAGATAAAGTGTCGCGGCTATGAGAAATAAAGTTGCAATTGCAAAATAAAATGTCAGTTTGTGAGATATACTTTGAAATTGTTATTGGAAGAAACAAAGTCATAATTATGAGAAATAAAGTCACAGTTGTAAGATATAAAGTTGCATTGTGAAATAAAAAGAGAGAAATAAAATCATCATTGGGAGAAATAAAGTAATTTTTGAGAGCCAGTATTGTGAGATACAAAGTCACAATTGCTTTTTTATATTGTTTAATCTAAATAGACTTTGTATCTTGTAATAAATATTAATAATAATCTCTGTTTAGTAATAAAGAAATCAATTAAATTTGGAGTGATTTACTGAAAAACAGTGAAACCATATGTGTCACAGCACCATGAACTCTGTTTGTGTTTTGCACTGTTGTAATGAGGATGAGGCGGAAGCCGAGGAAGAATCCATATGCGGATGTTTATTGAAGCAGTCCAACAAAACCAAACTCAGGGTCAGTAAAAACAGGCAATGAGGTCAAAAACACAGTAAGGCAGTCCAACCAGGCAAACAGGCAAAAGGGGTAATCCAAAAGAGAAGTCAAAACAAACAGATAAACAGGTCATACACGTGGTAAGAAGGCAGAGATACAAACGCTTGGTAAGGCAGGATAAACTGGCAATACTTCGCAAAGTAGTCATGTGGTGGCCAGGTTAATATGGCCACTAAACAGGAAGTGGTTGCAGAGAAAGCATAGGGAGTGCTAACAGTCAATACTCGGGTGAGGGCTCCCTCTGCTGGTTTGGTGTTACAGAACCCCCCCTCTAGGGGCCGAAGGAAGCGATCGAATATAGTGGGTTAAATGATCGTTTGCCGATTGCAGTTTGTTGAGCTGCTCTTGATAGTTCTTTAGCAGTTCGCTCTGATAAGCGAATGCCGCTTGGAGCTGAGAAACTTCCTCGGATTCATAGTAGGCGAAGTATTCTGTAATGAGGGTGAGGCGGAAGCCGAGGAAGAATCCATATGCGGATGTTTATTGAAGCAGTTTATTGAACCACCAAACTCAGGGTCAGTAAAAACAGGCAATGAGGTCAAAAACACAGTAAGGCAGTCCAACCAGGCAAACAGGCAAAAGGGGTAATCCAAAAGAGAAGTCAAAACAAACAGATAAACAGGTCATACACGTGGTAAGAAGGCAGAGATACAAACGCTTGGTAAGGCAGGATAAACTGGCAATACTTCGCAAAGTAGTCATGTGGTGGCCAGGTTAATATGGCCACTAAACAGGAAGTGGTTGCAGAGAAAGCAGAGGGAGTGCTAACAGTCAATACTCGGGTGAGGGCTCCCTCTGCTGGTTTGGTGTTACAACTGTTTCCCGCTCCTTGTTGGATGTCATGGTTGTTCATTTGATTTCATCATAATGTTCAGGTGTGTGTGTGTCTCATTATCACATGTATTTAAGTTTGGTTCTGTTTCAGTCTAGTTGTCTGGTGTCGTCAGTGTGTAGATGTATTGTAGCTGCTCTCTGTTTGTGGACTATCACCTTTATTCTTCATCTCCTTCTTCGTCGTGCCTGTATTACCTCACATTGTGACAATATGACTGCGGTAATGAAATTTACTAGCAATTCTTGCAGTGTAGGTTACTAGTAAGTTAATTGTTTTATTCTGGTTGCTTTCAGATGTTAAAGATGCTTCTGTTAATTTATCATTTAGATGGCTACATGACACTGAGAAATGCTCTGTGATTGAACTTTTTTTTAATACTGAAATGCATTTCTGTGGTGTTTTGAGCTGCTGGCAATAATGATACAACGAATGGTATCTTTGGAACTTTTAGAACGTTTTTTTTTTTTTTTTTCTTTCTGAGTTCTCTTAGTATTTGTCAGTGGCACTGACATTCAAAAGGTCAGTGTGAGCCCACTTGAAGACATTCTTGCATCGATGTGTACTAGCAAATAGCTTATTGAGCTATTTAAAGAGTCTGATTCAGTACTTATAAATTAAGCAACAGAGGTCCACGTCAAATTCTCTAGTTCTTCTAAATATCACCAGCATTGGCACTAGAGCAAAATCTGCCTATGTTATACTGTTATTGTGCAGCTTTTCTAAAATGATTGATTGATGATTGAGTGTAAGAGAGCAACAGAGGGACTATAAGGGACTTCATCAAGCCAAGTTTACAACACCTCCGGTTCGGAAATGACATTTTAGAGTGATGTTGCAGTAATGGTTTGTTCCACTTGAAAGCACATGTTTTATTGATTATGGTGTCCAAACTGTCCATTGAACTCTAAGCATGTACACACTCAGGTAATATTACACCACAGGTTTGAAGAGATGGCTGATGCCTGTTGAGCCATAGGTTTATGTTAAAAGAATAGTTCACCCAAAAATAAAAATTTGCTGAAAAGTTCCTTACCCTCAGGCCATCCAAGATGTGTTTGGAGAAATTAAGCATTACGTCACTTGCTCACCAATGACTCAGCAGTGAATGGGTGCAGTAAGAGCAAGAGTTCAAACAACTGATAAAATCAGTACAGTAATCCACAACACCAGTCCATCATTTAGTGTCTTGTGAAGTGAAAAGCTGCATGTTTGTAAGAAACTAATATATCAAGATGTTTTAAATTTAAACTGTCGCTTCTGGACAAAATTTCAGTCCATAATCCATAATAACGCTTCCTCTGGTGAAAAAGTCCATCCGCTGTCCTCTCCCATTTCCTTCACACATGTTAATTGTTGTACTGGAGTCATGTGGATTATTGTGATGCTTTTATCAGCTGTTTGGACGATCATTCTGACAGCACCCATTCAAAAGTTTGGGGCCTGTAAGATTTTTAAATGTTTATGGAAAAAGTATCTTATGCCTACGAAGGCTGCATTTATTTAATCAAAATACAGTAAAAAGTGTAATATTGTGAAATTAGTACAATTTAATATATTTTAAAATGTAATTTATTCCTGTGATGGAAAAAGTCATTACTCCAGTCTTCAGTGTCACATGATCCTTCAGAAATCATTCTAATATGATGATTTAACTAACTAAATAAATAAATACTCACTAACAAAATGAACAAAATAAAAAAATAATAATAATAATAATTAAACGCTTATTCAATTAAAAAAGTACTAACCCTGGTTAGTCTGAAAAGTTCAAACTTTTCAGATTTCCCAGCACACATGACCATGCATAATTGTCTTGATGGCAACTTTGCTGAAATCATTAAATATCTCACTTTCCCCATAAAGAACCTTGGAATGGCAATTGAAAGCACGCTGGCAGTAAAATGTGAAAAGCCTGCATCATCTCTTTGATCAGGCACTCGCACTGAAGCTGTTGCCCTCAGGATTGCATTCTGTTTTATTATTTGGTAGTTAATTTGATCCATTAGTTCTTGTGTACTCCAATCATAACCGCTGCAGGGTTTTTATTTTATTTATTTATTTTTTATCTCTGCCCATTTTACTTTTGGTTTCTGTGTGTCTGCATTGTGTGTGTGTGTGCAGTACATTCATACTAAGCTCTTTCTGACAAGGCAGTTATTGAGGGCCACCAAGCAAGCTGTACAGCTGTAGGCAAGAACTATTACAGCAAGTCGTCTTAAACAAACCTGCAGTCACTTTTAAATGCCCCCAGAGTGTTTTTAAACTGTTCCCATCTGGTACGCCACTCCATGATGATAACAGTGCAGTTTGAGGGATTCATTCATATAACACTGAAGTGAAAAACTGGTTTTCATAATGTTATGATACTTTCTGATATCCATGGAAGCTTGTTTCTGCTTGAGAGTGAAAAATAAAGGTAATTGTGACTACTTCTTGAAATTGTGACTTTATATTTCACAATTGTGACTTTAGATCTCATAATTTCAACTTTAGATCGGAAGTTCCGAACACACAGTGAGCGCTTAAACTCATCCTGCTGAAAAAAAGCTTATATGCTTTCCTTTCACTATTCCTTAATCCCTTCCCTGTTCTAGCTTGTACTATTCTGAACAAAGTCTGAAACTATTACTAGCGCTTCATGTTTATTGCCTTTAGGATGACTCGATTGTTGTATTCTTCAGTTGTCTCCTAAATTAATAATTGCAAATGTAGATTTCGAAATTTGTCTATATCTCACTGTGTGACTTAATGTTTGACAGTTGTGACTTTATTACTTTTATAACAATTGACATTATATTCCAATGTAAATTTTTCATGAATAAATGTAAATATACATTTATAGAAAATAATTTATGTATCTAAAAGAAAATTTATTCAAAAGCAATATGACGTTTTCTCACAACTGTGACTTTACAGGTCACATTTGAACCTTTATTTCTCCTAATTGCAATTGCATAATATAATAAACATTGGAATTACATATAATTACGCAGTTATATACATTATAAATGCAATTGCTTATACAATATAATATATTGCATATGTAAATATCTCACATTGTGACTTTATTTCTTATTTTAAACTGATATTTTACCTGTTTTGTTGTCCCACTAAATGTGTGGAAATGCATTTGAGTGCAAAATGAATCGCCAATGTTAAATGTGTATATGTGCTAAAAGTTAAATGAATTTGTGCTAATGGATTATAAGAAACAAAACTTTTAACTGCTGTTTGTGAAAGCATTGGATGTATCCCCAGGTGGTGTTTAAAGCTCTGGCCTTCATTCAGATATAACTATTCCTCACTAGGGTCAATCAGGCTTATATAGTAATTTGTCATTTCATTGTGTGTGCCAGTAGTTTTTTGTTTTTGTTTTTGTGCCCTAAAGCAATACACACCATGTCTAATCAGGTCACTTTTAATTTTCTTGGAAGGTGTGAGTGTTAATTATGACTCGGGTATTAGCTGAGCCTGCTTAACTGCTTTGTTTTAAATGCTTTTATAATACCCATTTAATGCTCAGTCAATATGTTGTTATATACGGTGAACCAGAGACAAATTATCACCACATTCAAATTCTTTTTTTTCCCCATACCCATCGGTATTAATGGAGCGTTCAGTTTAACATCAGTGTCTTAACGGTTAGGTAATTGAATCCTGATATCTTCTGACAAATGTCAGATCATTTTTTCATCAGACATTTTACATTGCTCCATAAAATCCAATCCTTCTCACCCAACATTAAAAAGGAATCACAAAAAAAATCTTTAATTCAAGGGATCATATCTCATTTGGTTTGATTTGATTTTTTTATGAGAACAGCTTCTTCAACAGATTAAGAGCGCCTAATAGCTGCTGTTTCACTTTTCAGAAAACATTTTCCTGGTTTAACTCTCTCAAATACTTATATTTCCCACTGTTATAGTATGAGACTGGTGAAACAGCATTATTATTAACTGAAGCCTTGTGCTGTGATTTTGCTCTTCCTAAGTGCTGCAAACCAATTAACATATTGTTAGCATTTAAACAAAGGATGGTTTTATAGAACACATGTTGATCTCTTAGAAGTGATTGTTAAAATGTATGATTGTTAGTTCCCATCTCAAACCTTGAAATGTCCTCAGTGGTAAACACAGTTAATGTGATCTAAGCAATGCAATCAGATAGGCCTAAAAGATTGCATTCAGCTCTAATATTGTTATTTCAGGGAATCAGGCATTAAAGGGTTAGTTCCCTCAAAGTATCCTAGGTGTATGTAACTTTCTTCTTTCAGATGAATCCAATCGGAGTTATATTAAAAATTGTCCTTGCCCCTCCAAGCCTTTCAATGGGGGTAAGCAGGTGTTGGTTGTCAACAGTTCCGAAAATGTGAAATAAGGTCGCGGTTCCATAATAAAGCATCCCTCACCCGGCTCCGGGGGGTGAATAAAGGCCTCCTGTAGCGAATTAATGCATTTTTGTAAGATAAATATCCATATTTCAAATGTAATAAACACTTTTTTCTCACTTTCGCTGACTGTGGTACGCAGAAGATGTTCTGGCAGATTACGTAGAATGTATGCGTTGTGCGCGCGCCTCTGAGAAATGCAGGAGCAAAGGAAACACAGTTTCCTTACTTTAGCAAAGGAAAACCAGCCTCCTCTTGGCTTATATCGAAATCCACTGACATTTTTCTTTACAAATCCTCGTTTTGTGCTTCTAATTCGTGAACGGCGTTTTGTTTTGTTTTGTCTCCGCGTTCGTCACTAATCACGCAACATCGACGTCTTAAGTCATCCGCCGGAACGGCTTCCACGTATGACTAGATGTGAGAGGGAGAACCAGAGTGGATAGTGTGAAGTCTCAAGATGCACACAGATCCACCACCTGCTCCACCACATCAGGGTGGAGCCTCCATTCCCAGGGCCTCAGGATGTCTGCTCCCTGATTCAGGTGCTCAGGGTTGTAAACTGCTTTGAGTGAGAAGAGTTTTCCCTGAGC